CGTGAGTCAGCCCTGGGGGAGGGGGGAGGGGGGAGGGGGGGGAGGGAAGTGGTGGGACACGTGGGAGGGGGAAGAGGGGTCCACATTGCCGCAGGACTCCACAAGGGTGCCGGGGGGTTGGGGTAGGAGAGGAGAGGAGAAGAGAAAAGGTGGATATGCATTAGGAGCTAGGGGAGGGGGGCGGGGGAAAGAAAAAGGGACGCCCAAAGGGGCGGAAGGTGGGTGATGTCAGGGGGGTGGTACGTCACGTGACGTCACGTGACGTGACGCGGTGCAGGGGGGTTGGTGGGGTTGAGAAACACGGTTGTTAAGATGCAAGGTGGAGGAGTCCGGGGTGTTCCGGAGGGCGGCAGGAGGCTGCCTCCTTGTTATGGATGGTTATTGAGAGGTTGCGTTGGGGGACGAGGGAGGCGGGCGATAGGATAAGGTAGCGTAATCGACGACGCAGTTTTACACACACACACACACACACATAGCAAACCACATACATACAAACACACACATATCCTCCTGGCCTCCCGGCCCCCGCCAACCCTCGCTTCTCCCTCTTTTCTCTCCACCAAAATAAATCCCCCTCTCCCTCACCCGCTGGATGCAGTCTCTTGAGCTGCTGGTACTTCCTGGGCGAGGGCCGGGTTCCCACGTGGAACGTGTGGACCAGGTGGGTCATGTTCATCCAGGTGTGGTCGAACGAGTGCCCCTCGGAGCGCGCCACCACCGTCAGGGTGCCGGGGACCTTCTTCACCATCACGAAGCCAGCCAGGTTGCAACCCGGGGTCTGAGGAAAAGGGCGGGGGCAGTTATGAGGAAGGGGAGGAGGGGGGGGAGGAAAAGGGGCAAGGGGGGTTGTAAATACACAGGGACAGTGAGCGAGACGGAAGGGTTGAAGGGACGCCACAGGCAGCTGTGTGTCCCACGAGTATACCCACGCCGTGCACTGCATCAGTACTGCTGGTACTGGCTCATATCATCATCCACGAGCCGTACGACAACTCCAAAATAAAGTACCCAACCCGAATCCTAACCCTAACAGCAAGCCAAACCCCTCCCCTCCCCCTCTTCCCCCCCACCAGGGCCCCTGCTCCTCACCGACCTTGGGTGCCGCAGACAGCGCCGCATGCTTCCTGTGGGGCTGCCCCGCCGAGGGCACCAGGCTGTCAGCGAAGGCCACCAGCGCCTCCTTGGTGCGGTCACCTGAAGGGGGGTGAGGGTATGACGAGGCGGGGGGTGAGGGTATGACGATGTCGTAGTCCAGTAGTCCAAGGAACAGCTTGTTACCGGTGTCCAGTGAATGAGAAAGGGGTTGGGGGGAGGGCGAAAATCGGTGCTTAATGCTGACTGAGCGGGGGGGGGGAGGGAGGGGGGAAGGGAGGGGGGAAGGGAGAAGCGGAGAGATGGGAAAGAGAGGCGGGAAGGGGGAGCGAGGGGAGAGGGGGGAAAGACACAAGAGTAGAGTGCTAAAGGGATATCTACCAAGAGTTGTGAGCTCATGTGCGCGGCCTATACACACGGACATACACACAAGCACACAAACACACGCCCTCCGCTAATGCACCTTCCTAAACTGCATTTCAGCCACCCACACCTTCACAACTGCCATTCTCCCACTCCACTACGGGCCCCCCTTCCATCCGCCGCGCCACCACCAGCACCAGCACCACCCTCCACTCCAACCGGGGACCATTCCCTTTGTTCTTCATCCCCTTCGTTTTCACTAAAGGGGATGAAGAACAAAGGGACCAGGGGATGACACCCCCTTTGGTTCATCCCCTAAAGCAGAACTAAAGAAGACAACCCCAGAGGGGGATGATGTCCCCTTCTTCTTCCTCTTCTTCCGCTAAAGGGGAATTTTAGTTCCCCTTTAGTGCTCTTCCCCCAAAGGGGAACCCTTTCGGGGATGTAGTCTTCCCCTAAAGGGAAGAACTAAAGAGGAAGAAGGAGTTCCCTTTTAGGGGAAACCTCCCCCCACACATATGCACACGTAAGCACGCTTGCCGTACCCATGTACGACTCGTGTTCGTGCATTCCTCCAATGACGATGTCGTCATGTCCCTTCCTGAACACCCGGATGGAGGGGAAGCCCTGAATGAAGTGCGTGCGACACAGCTCCATCTCCTGCGTGCAGTCCACCTGAGTGGCGACATTTGGGGGGTGAGGGGGTGAGGGGTGTACGGAGGTTTCGGAGGAGGAAGAGGAAGAGGAAGGGGGGCCGCTTCGGATTCATCAAACCACAGATACACGCGCACCTTCTCATTTGTAACCTACCCACGCCAGTCCTTCAACTACAAGCAGCAAGAATTGTACTTACATTCATGGACGGAGAAATCGTACACCTTCTTGTGCCTGCATGTGTATGTATAACTCTCTCTCTCTCTTTCTGTCTCCCCCCCCCTTTTCCCCTCTCCCCTTCCCCCTCTCCTCCCCCCCCCCTCCCCACCTTGGCAAACCTGATCCTCCCGTCCCACTCCGGGTACTTGTCGTGGACCTCCTTGGTTGCGGCCTCCCAGGTGGGCTCCAGACGCTGACACCAGTGACACCAACTGCAGTACAATATTAATGTACGACACCGTACGATCAAAAACACGTATATATACGCACACGTGCATACGCACATCGACGCCCTCTCCACTACGCATCTTCACCCCGTCCTCCCCTCCGTTCCCCATTCCCCCCTAAAAACCCCGCCATCACCACCCATTGGGTTTCGACGTGTGCTGCTGCTGCTGCTACTGCTGGCGGTAATGACGATGTTAACCCTTTTCCCCCACGTCACCATCTTCCCCAGACAGTTCCCCCCATCCCCTTACCTTATCCCCAACCCCACTCCCGAACAAGCCCCAGCAGTCAATGCTTTGCACATCGGCACCTGTTGGTCCTCTGCATTTTGGCCTGCACTTATCCTTCCCCTCCTCCATCCGTCCAACCACTGCGGCGAACGTCCCGCGGATTCGCTCGTTGCTCATTTCCCTTGCAACAAGACCCAAATCTAACCACCCGCTACCCGCCCTTCACCCCACACTCACGGCGCAAAGAAGTTGACCACCACAATGGGGTAGCGAGCCAGGGTCGCCTCGAAATTTACATGCGACAACGGCTGCAAGGGAAGGAGGGAGGGAGGGAGGGAGGGAGGGAGGAAGGGAAAGACGAACCACAAACGAGTGAAGCTGACCACAAATGATTGGAGCTGATGAGGAAGGGAGGGAGGGAAAGCACGTGGAAAACGAAACCGAGGGGGTCGACCGGTGGAGGTGTGTTAGGCGGGAGGCAGACAGGCCGGTGGGCGGATACAGCCTCCCCTTCAAGATGTTGCGGGCAGGAAGACAGGCAGGTCATCACTCAGAGCTAGCGGGCGCACCTCACCCTGATTGCCCGCCGCACCTCCGTAGGAGAGGAACCACCACCACCACTACCACCACCACCACGGTCTCCTTCGGGTCGCTCACTCGTGCCTTCTGGTCGCGCTGCTGACGCGTTCGCGTCCCCCACAATCCCGCCTCCACATCTCCCACCCCACCCCACCCCACCCCCCCACCCCGGCCTGTATGGCGTCGTGAGTTTTGCACATGTGCAACTTGCCCGGGGCCCCCCACCCCCGTACCCGCCCCGCTCCCGTTGCCTGGCCTGGGTGCTTTCTGGCCCCTATCACCCTCCACCTCCAGCTAGCTACTCCCCCCTTCCCACTACTACCGCCGTCCCGATCAGCCTGACTGCCTCACCACTGTGATGTCGATGTCCGGCTCATCGTCAAACCGGCCCTCCTCGTCATACTTGGGTCCGGGCTTGTGGGAGCTGTCCTCCACGGCTGAACCCTTTTCGCTCTCGAATGGGGGCAGTTGAATGCAACCGGAAGGGGGGAAGAGGGATTTCAGTGGAGGGGAGGGAGGTGGAGGGGAGCGGGGTTAAGGAAGCATTGGTGGGTTACGGGCGATACGAGCCATGCAACCGGCGTGGGGTGAGGGTGGGAAGATGGGAGGCCAAAAACAACGCCATTCAACCGCCACGGACGAGCGCAGCATCGAACGAATGGAGGAAGGAAGGCGAAAGAGGTGAGGTGGACTTACACGAGGTCGGTTAGCTCTTGTGATTTCCCATGTAGACTGCAGGAGTCTAGAACTACTCCGATTATTCGGATCCGATTATTATAGTTGTGACTAGGTCATATCTGGAGACGTGTCTGTACAGGGTGCATATGACATCGGATGCGAGTGGGATGCCTGTGTCCCTGTGCTTCTTTATCTCCTCCCGTTGCCGTGCCGGCCGCCCCCAGTCCCTTGCCTTTTGCCCTTCCCCCCCCTCGGCGTTCGCGACGGGTCTCTCCCCGCCCCGCGGAAGCCACCCACCCCTCTGTAACGCCCCATTTCCACTCCGTCCGTCCATCAGGATTTGTGTGTGTGTATGTATGAATGCATGAGGCAGCAGTATCTTTGCTGTCGCTCTTGTGTTTTGCAGCTCCCCCATGTCCCTTTAGGCTCCTCGGGTTCATTCCTCACTTCCCAGTGCCTCTCGCTTGTTCGTATCTCCCCCGGTATCTCTCTTCCCCCCTCAGGCTCTTCCCCTCAAGTTCTCTCACCATGCGCTCCAACTCAGTTGTGATGGGCATTTTTCGAACCGTCTTGGTCAGGTTCATACGTTTCTGTTGATTGGGAAAGGTTGGGAGACACCGCGAGCAGCAGCGGCGGCGGCAAGGATGAGAGCGCGGTAAGTCAACCGGGTGGTGGAACAGGAAAACACCGATATGGGGTGGGGGGGAACACCGATAAGGGGGGAGAGACAGGGTAAAATTATACATTATATTCCTCAACTCATGGCTAAATTACTGTTGATACTCGAGTTTTAGCAGAGGACGCAATGGGGGCCACATTCGATGGCATGAAAAAGGGGACAGGCGCGAGGCCGTGGGGGAAACGGCTCGGAGGAGATGCACATGGGTATGGGGCGTGGGTGTATGAGGTCGTTGGGGGAGATGGCATTCATCACCTTTCTGAAATCTTACCGTTCCTAGGGTATCGCTAACGTCCACGGTGGCGAACTCGCACGACAGCGCCGGGAAGCTGGGGAAATGCAGCAGCCGGGCAGCGGGTCGGATGGGTCAGAGCGACACAGCGAACGGGGGAAAAGCGTGTTGGGGAGGTGATGTTTGGGTTACGCTGTTGCGTGGTGTTGCGTGTGCCTACCTTATGTTGAAATTAAGCTTTAAGAGCTCGTTTTGGGGACTCCGGTCCACGATCAACTGGGTTGTAGTAGTCGTGGAAAGAAACGACATCATCTCCTGCGACACCACACGGAATGCATATGTACCCGATGCTCGCGCCAAGCCTTCTCCCCAGGAGACGACACAACTGGAGCCATGTCGGTATAGTTTAGGAAGAGCAACTAACAACTTAAGTGTGCAACGGAGCGCACGACCATACCGCTGTGAAGAGGAAAACCATGATCACAGCGGCCAGTATTGATATCCATGCGCCCGTTAATGTCGCTTCCGTGAGGTCACTACAGATCCATCATGTAGACAAGACGCTGGTTAGTTTGGGCCAGTAACCAAAGTCGACTTCACCATGCAGACGAAATTTTGCAAACCTTGGTATCTTCTTGAAGAAGTCAATTGCTTTCAGCTTAGAGAATAACCGCGCCATGGTTGCAGGTGAAACAACCAAGGCAAGCGAAGGACAGAAGAAGCACCAAGTGGTGCTGTTACTGCACTTCGTTGCCTAACAATGCTATCTAACCATTTCAACGTCTCCCAATATCACGTTGAGGCTACGGCTTACCACGACAACGTTCAGGGTATTGTCGTTTGCCAAGCAGAATTAACCGACTATTTCGTACAATGCGTATCTGCAATTCTGCGTCTCCCGTCGCATGCTCGGCTGGAGATCTATCGTCACATACTGAGATGCAGCACTTGCACAGCCCCAGCTTGACGTTCCCGGCCATATGTCAATAGGATGCCTTGCCGAGCGCCCGGCTACTTGCAGAGTGTGGACGCCAGCGGAAGCCTTACCGTTACCTGCTTACGCATAATTACCAGTTGAGCACTCACGCACCCCACCAGAAAGCGTATATCCCTGACAACACGTAGCATGTCCGTTTCCCGTCCACGGCCTCACCGGACCGCTAGGGTTCATCTCCCCGTAGCGGTGGCGGCTAGAGCTTAGAAGAGGAAAGAGGAAGGGAATGAGAAGGTGATGGCGAGAGAAAGAAGGAGGCGGGGGAGGTGATGGAGAAGGTGCGGCGAACAGGCGGGAAATTGAGTCATCATACACAAGAATGTACAGGGTCAAGGGGGGGAACGAGATGACGATACGCCCACGCAGCCTGCATTAAGTTTCTTGCGCTCCCCTACCACCACCACCACGACCACCACCACCAGTAGTGTTTGTTTAATAACTTACGAGCAGCGGTCAGAAAGTTAACGAGGGGGAGATGGTCACTTCATACCGAAGCACTCGGGTACGTTGGTTCCCTCGGAAGGCACAACCTCCAAATGGCCACGGTGGCGTCAAACCCTCTCAGAAACGGAAACGTGGCTCCGCAAATCACAACTTGCAGCAACGACCTTCCCTCACCAATCCCCAGCGCTCCCATCCCATAGCGCTCACAAGCGCGACTTCAGCTGCAATCGTCCTTTCAACTGCAATCGTCCCTCTATTAGCTCCTGAATGTGTTGAGTGACCATATGGATTTCCGTAGCACCGGCACCTTACACCAGCTGCGTCAGGTTACATCACGTCACCCCGTCTCCAACATGTAATGCTACGGCGAGCGCGCCAAGAAAATACCCGTTCATGGTCGTGGGTTATCCTGCTTGATTACTAGTCGTGCCGCAGCCAAGGCCGTTTGGACCTCCCGCGGCAGCCTGAAAGCAGTTGCGTCCGTAGGGGGTCACAGGTTGCGGCGCTGCTGCTGTGTCACGGTTGCTGTTGCCGCTTTGCTACTTTGCGGCTGCTGCTGTTGGTGGTGGTGCTTCGCTGCATTCGCGGCAGCTCCGCTCCCGGGACACGCCAGCAGTCCCGATTTTACACTGCTGCACAGGGCCTGGGCAGTAAGCGCATGAAGCAGAGGCGACCGAAAAGTTCCGCTCCTTAATTCCACAACGAAGCAGAGGGCAGGGCGGCCGCAGAGACCCAAATCCCGCGTTAGCCGCCGCCACGCTCCACGCACGTTACGCTTTACCACGTTACTGTCGGCAGTCCAGCAAAACCACCTACCACCACACGGCGACCCCCCAAATGTTGCTCCACATCAAGAAGCTACAAGTCACACGGTATCGATCAGTCAGGGGCCGGTGTTCATCGGGCAGGGCTCCCACAGCACAACACCTCCAAGAAATAACCACACGGCTGCTGGAAAGCGGCGCTGCCCCGCCGGCGAAGGAGAAGCACGGCTAATGACACGGCCGCCGCACCGCACAAAGCCGCCTTCTGAACGACGGCCTAAAATCTCCAAAGCACCCAGCACATTCAATGGGCCGTTGGGCACACTGAAGCCTGGGCGCACACACAAGCGCTAATCGCTTCCCTCTCTCAACAATTTCAAGCACTTTTAACTCTCTTTTCAAAGTTATTTTCATCTTTCCCTCACGGTACTTGTTCGCTATCGGTCTCTCAGCAGTATTTAGCCTTAGAAGGGATTTACCTCCAAATTAGGGCTGCATTCCCCAACACAGCCCGACTCGTGGAAAGCACCTCGTGAGAGGACTAGGCAGGAACCGACGAGGGGGTTTTCGACCTCTCTGACGCGGCATTTGATCCAACGCGGGATTCGATTCCGCCAGCCCACGAGCGCGCTTCTGTAGACTACAATTCTCCAAGGGGAGATTTTCAAGATGGGCTATTTCCGGTTCGCTCGCCCTCACTAGGTTATCCTGGTTAGTTTCTTTTCCACCGCTTAATGATATGCTTAAGTTCAGCGGGTAACCTTGCCTGAGCTCAGGTCGAGGAAAAAACTTACTGTACTACACAATTATGTGCAGTACATTCCTGATCTCTGCGAATTACAGAACCTCAAAGCCATCTACTAAAGCATTGCAGCAAGCAACGTACATAACGCTGACTTTGCCTACCCAGTAAAGGCCCGATGAAACGGTTCATCCGTTGTTGAGAGTTGTCTTGGTTTCTCAGCTCCAAGTTGATCTCTCGATGTATCAAAGATGTAACTGGGTTTAAGGTAAGTCGGTTGGGAAAAGGGCCAACACTGTACTCTGCCAACAAATTAGCAGAGGACAATTCCTGATGTTGGGTGGACCACTCCACACATATGCCACCTCAAGAATTTGTACGGCATTTCTGCCGTACAAACTGATGTCCTGCGAGGCCAACTAATTTATTCACAGGTGCGGATTTTAATAGATTCAATGATCCCTCCGCAGGTTTACCAACGGAAACCTTGTTACGACTTCTCCTTACTCCAGGTGGGAGGGTTGAATGAAGCCAGCCAGGGCTTTCCTCTCCCCCGGCGCGCTGCTCTGCGCATACAGCATTACATCGCAGCGCGTTTGACAACGCTTTTCAAAGTAAGGGGTGAATCCCCTGCCGAACGCGCGTCCAAACTACATTGCCTGCCCACGTCTAGTATGCGCCATCATGCTGAATGAACGTCGACAGCCTCCCGCCTGTTCTTCCATCGGCGCAGCCTCTCGCGTCCATGTCTCCACCTCCTCCCCCCTCCCCCCTCCCGGTCCTTAGCACCACCCTCCTCACTCAGCCTCACAGACTGCATGCCCGCACACCTTCACGTCTTGCACCACTTCATCTTCTACCCCTTCCCTTGCCTTTACTGCCAGCATTGTTCCGACGTTTCGAGAGTTACCAAAACCACTTGGGGCCCGCCTTGAAGGCGGCCTCCTCATACAAACCAGATTCCCGCTTACGTGTCCACCTCTCAGCGCCGCGCGCTACCATAAACCCGGAGCCCCAGCAGCACAGGCCAGCAGCCCGGCGTGCATTCAGGACGTCCGCGCTCCGCAAACAGCTACCGCACGCTGTAGAGCTACGGGAAGGCCACATTTCGCGCCAACACCTCGATCGACATTTCGCGCCCCACGCTCCAACAGAGATGAAGTCCTTCTCCCCAGTCCGAGACCTGCCTCCCCACCCATTCCCGCCGGCCAAGACGCCGACCCGCGATCCTCCCACCAGCTGCCCCTACGCCTTCTAGGATCCCACCTCCAATCCCTTTACCACGCGGGCGTAGGTACGGACAGGTTCCGGTGTCCCATGGACACCCTAACCCCTTCCCTTTGATGACTTGATGACTTCTTTAACGCCTTGAGGGGGGAGTCATATGCAGGCAGCAAGGAGAGGTTGAGGGGTTGAGCGTAGTCGTCTTTTCCCCGCCTACGTCTCACACTGCCCCTACTGCCATGACGCCAACGCTCTCGTCCTCCAGCGCCGCCGCCACCGCCGCCACCTTGGACACCCAGCTGTCCAGTCTGCCCTTGAGCCCCACCAGCTGCTCGGTGACCAGCACACGGGGGGTCACCCAGGACACGTCGACGGCGCCGTCCACCTGTAATCGCAAGGAGACAGCGAGACAGAGAGAGGGAAGGAAGGGGCGGTTGTGCGAGGCAGAGAGAGAGAGGGGGGGGGACTCGGCGAGAGAAAGAGGAGGGGAGAAAACGAACCACAGACGAGTGATGAGAGTGGAGGGTTGCGAGAGAGAGCGCATTCGGGGGAGAGGTTGTGGTCCTTTCCATGTGCGACACGCCGAGTACAGTACAGTAGACAGCACCGCTACAGCCGGGGGCATAACGTGCAGGCGGTAGTCCGGGCTCCCACAAAAGTGCTCCAAATGCCCGATGCTAACCACTCACTCACTCACACACACACTCACACACACACGCAAATGCTCACTTGTGGGAAACCACAAACCGCCGTGCCAGCAGTCGTGCAACCTACCTCATCAATGGTTCCTTCAATGAGGTGGAGCGCCAGGGCCTGTGCGCCACAGCACACAGGTTTGCAGCAGGAAGTTGGAATCGGCAGGCGGAAGTTAACAGGGCTAGGCCGAGAGGGGGGGGAGAGATGCTACCGCACCAAACAGAACCGGGAACAAGGTGCAAACAATCAGGGCAGACTTCCATTTACCACAATGGACCATAGCCCTGCAAGCCCGCAGGTGCCGAAATGCCGAAATTACTGCTAGCGAGCACTGGCTCACACACCTCTTTTTTTAACACCTTGCGTGCGTCCACATAGTACATTTGCGTTCAACCCAGGCGGGATCGCGTCAAGTTCAATTTCTCTTGTCAGGTTGGAAATGGCTACCTTGTCTAAAAACCCCCTTTCCAACGAAAAGGAACGGACAGATAGCAGGGCCCTCCTTGAAAGGAATTCGCCCTAGGAGCTACGACAGGAGCTCGAATGACTCTAGAGAGCCTTATAAAATGACCTTATCGAGCACACCTGCTGCCTTCATTTAACAGCTAAAAGCCCGATTTCGAACCATCGGCACCATCATCATCACGCCGTCCCGATTTCCCCTCCAGGCTCACCCCTCCCAGTTGCACCAGCAACCAGCACCTCCACACACACACACACACACACACATCAACCGGTTCTGCACCGCATCCTCCCCGCCGCAAGCCCCCCTCCCTGCCATCAAGTCCGCGTGCGCAGCATCCCAACCCTAAGTATACCTCTCCTCTCTCCCCCACTCTCCCCCGCCAAGACGAATTCACCGTCAAGCCGTCTACTGGCTTCCCAGCCCTTCAAACACCTATCGCGCGCCCCAACTTCCTTACATCCGGCCACCACGCCAATTCCCCTGCCTCTGTCCGTGTCTCTTAGCTGCTTATATTATCCTCTGTCCCGATATAGCACCTCCCCCGCCGGCCCGTCCGTCCGCTCCCCCCTCCCGCTCATCCGCACCTTCATCAGCAGGAACTCCACCCCGTCTCGGTTCAGTTTGGTCCTCTGACCGATTACGTCCAAGGGAATGCGACGGTGCTCCGCCGGGGTGGAGGAAATGAGGTCCAGCAGACACATCAGGGTAATCTTCTCACGCAGGCGCCGCTCATGGGCCACCAAGGCCGGCTGGGAGTTAAGCTATGGCGGGCGAGTTTGAGGGGGGGGGAGCATTACATGCCAAGTCAGAAAGGGAAAAACAAGTGCAGGAGTCCATACTGAAGGGGTGGAGGGGTGGGAGGGGTGGAAAGACGAACCACGTGAACGAGTGAAGCTGCTGCCAAGGAAAGGGTGGTGAGGGGGGTGCGGATGGAAAGGAGTCTACCGGAGCCAGAGGGCTACCTGGCAAGGGCGTATTAGGTAGAGCAAGTGCCCGAGATGAGCAACGGTTCTCACGGTTACGGTGGCGCAATATGCAAGTCCAGGGCGCATTATGCCGGCATAGAGCTCACACGCGTGCGGGGCTGCGAGCCGGGCCTCAGCGAGGACTCCTTTAAGTGGTTCCTGTTCCACATAGAACCCGTGAGCCCACACGTGGCCAGAGTCCCACACGCAGCAGCAAAGGCGAACAGATCCCCAAAACACACACATATACACACAAACGCACACGTTCGTCATTGCTGGCCGGTGCAGCCGGGCCCCCCCTGGAACTCAATAGTGAGTCCCCTTCTCCACAAGCGGGTTCGATTCCTGGGGAGACCCCCGAATTAGTCGGGAGCGCGAGATTATGGCTAGCTGCTGAGATGTGGAGTTGAGGTCACATTTGATGGACCAGATTCGCACGCTGGATTGGTGGCGATTGCCGAACCCTCCGTCTCTTCGGGTGTTCGGGTGAATGGATGAGGAGGGGTCCCTGGATGCTGGATCCGCCGCCTTGGACTTACAGTTCGTATGGCGAAGTACAGTGTGGTAGTGGTGGAAGGTGCTATAAGGTGATAAATGATCTAGAACTGACAATGTGATAAAGCGGCCCAGAAGCCTCCCACTCTGTAACATTACATTACATTACACAAGCTGTTTCGCTGCACCTCCAACAGTACCAGATAATAACGTGGGTAAAGCACGCGCTAAAAAAAAGCCTGAGCCCATCGCATCGTGCAGTTGCAGTCGTTTCCACTCCCATTTCACAGTGCTGGCGTATACTGCGGATGCTGCAGCATGATGAATGTTTTCCTTCTGCTGTAGCGGAGCGGAGCTACAGCACCCCCGCTGCCCCTGACCCATATCGCTGAAACCTCATTTCTTTCCATAGCCGCCTGGCCCCGGCAGGTCCCGTAGCTGCCCAGCTGTCCCGGCAAGGACGGAGGAGGTCTTAGGGTTGCATTCTAGGACTTGCTCAGGGGACGGCTGCTGACGCAGGCCTGCTAAGTGTGATGGAGCGGAAAGCTACATATGTAAGTGGTGGGGATGTATCACATGTATCGAGACCAAAAACCATTCCCCTACCTGTGCTGCAAACCGCTCGCACAGTTGGTCGTACAGGTGCATGTCACCGTTGTTGAAGCAGACCAACAGCTCATGCAGCCACTGCGATGGCGTGCAATCCAGAGAATTGATGATAGGGTGTTGCAGCAGCTGGCCGAAGCTGTAAATGTGCTCGCCCAGAAGAGCTGCTAGGGAGACATCCACAGCAAGGCGCAGCTTGAAGTCGGGCTGAAGGCTGTCGGACGATACGTACGACAGGTACATGAGGATGGAGCGGTAGAAATCCGCGTAGTTGGCCTGGGATTTGTGGTAGAGGGAGGTAACGTAGTAGACTGCGGAGGAGACGGAGGGGTCGACGTCGGTCAACTTAGCAAGCCGTTCCGTTACGTCCTCCGCGATCGCCTTGCACTCCTGCACATGCCCGGTCTCCAGCTTATGCTGGGCAACGTGCATGCGCAGGAAGAGGATCGCCTCCGCCGTACGGGGCTGCTTGAGCTCCTCCAGCCGCGTCATGACGGATTGAAGCATGTCGACCGCCGCGGCAGGGTTCGGCTGGAACTTGCACGCATGCACGGCAAACTGCGAGAGTTTCAGAAAGTTGATCTTGTGCCCGAAATCCATGATAAACTGTTGGAAGAGACGGACTGGGATATCACCCCGGTTGAAGGCTGAGCTGTGAAAGCACGCCTCTATCTTGAGCGTAAGCTGGTGCCATAGTTTCCGTTGATGCAAATTTGCAAGTTCCTGAATATCTTCTGACAGGTCTGGGAAATCGGTTTGGAGCTGCTCCAACGCATCAAAAGGTGAGAGCGCCATCTTGGACAGCGGGAAACGTAATGCCTAATGTTTTCCGTCCCTTGCTGTAAGGCGGTCTTGGATGAAGGTTCTCCCTGTCTTATAAATTAAATGCGCCTAAGCGGTATACCGATCTGCGTGGGATCTCCCGCCGAGTGAAGTGCGTCTTTGGCGTAAGCTATTACCGTTCGGCAGAATGAGTGTAAGGCCAATACTTTGGAGGAAATGGCTAGAGGGCAGCAAAAAAAGAAATCGACGGCCTTACGTTGTGGCAAAGTAATGCGTCTGCAAAGGGTATGCGAAATCTGTTACCCTAAGCGGACATAGTTATGCAAATTTATAACCAGTATTACATGAAAACAGGCTGGCGCGTTGCCCCTTCTCCGTCACGGTCACCGGAAGCCGTGCAATGCTCGATACGCGCCACGAGGCTCAACACTATCCAGTTAAAAATGTAGTCTTTTTCAGTATATGTGCAGTTGCCTAAGTAATATGATGTACGTGCATGCATGCTGCGTCGAATACCGGCCCGCGGGTCGCAGCCTGCAAGTGTGGTGCACCGGGTTTTTTTTCGCCTTGGGTGATGTCGTATGCCAGCAATATCAACCAGGCATCGCAATGTTCGGCTTTGCATGGCATGCGTCCAACAATATAGACTTGAGCTTCTGGCTACCTTGGGCTGTAAGATGATGGACCGCGGCCGCGTCACATGGGCGGCAATTGAAAAGCCAACCACCACTTGATAAGTACGCTCCCATTACATTTCAGCCTCTCCACTCTGCGGCTGAATCCGTATAAACTCTCTTTGCACACCTGAGCCGCCGCTTGGATGCTTTAGCCCCTCCCTCTTAGCTTTGGACTCAACGGAACTTGCTTTCATTCGCATTTTAGGTCCGGGAGCCTATGTCCCGTCGTACTATGCTGACGGATTTGTCGTCGGAGCGCGTGCTAAGGGTATTTTTCCCCACGTAGTTGCTGATAGATGACCGGCTGGGTAGGCCTTACGGCCCCCATATCGTGGGCCCAGCAGGCAACGGACCGCCACACGGACCGCCAACCCTTGCCCATGGACTCAAATTTCATGCGAACAACGATGGATAGGGGCGACGTGTGTGCTTTATTCCACAGCGAGGTATCCATTACACAGTGCACCCCCTGATGAGGCAAAGCAAGTGAGCAATTCGCCCCTAGGCCCTACCGGGAGGGCCGGAGGTCACTCCATTTGAGCATCAGAAGACACAGGAAAAGCGATGCCCGCAATCCATACATTCCTACGCCGGCTAAGTACGCCACTTCTCACTCAGTACTGTATCACACGAAGTTGCCACCAGCTCCGTCCACACAATCCACATTGCCGTTCCGAGGCAGGAACCTCGAAACCACAGGTAGAGGAACATGTAAAGAAAATCAACGGATATCTGCACCTTTGTGCCCGTCGTCAAGATGTGCCCAACAACCACCTTGGGCCTACCAGCGAGGCAGCACGTTCTTCCGCCTCCCTGCCTTTCGCCTTACCTTAGCCCCAGTGTACGCATCGCACAAGGAGCAACATCAGCCGCCCCTTTCCCCCGAAGACGGCGGAACGCTGCGAGGCGCTCCGAACCCACCGCCGTGTGTGGCAATGTAAGGAAAAAGTGCCCTTACGAGTCCTTATAAGAAATTGGCCGATCGCAACGTAAATTGCAATGACACCATGACGGGAGAATCCCTGTCCTCAACCCTGGCTGCGTGCGTCTGCATGTATCGCCCGCAATATCACAAACATTTTCGCATGCGCCGACGTACATGCACGACGCAAGCCACCACGAGCACTCGTAAAAATAGGTCGAGACTGCGTGCACGAAACCGAAGCCGTGACCATAGGAAAAGAAACAAACAAGGATAGAAACGCAACAGAGACGGTTCCTACACGACCCCTTGTCACCTAACCCTCTTCATGCGGGGCGGAGAGCAAGGGACAACCATATAGAGGCAATTATCCCTGGTGATGTCCGCCGCACACGCACTTACACGAACGCCTAGAATGTGGCAAAATAAGAGGACAGATGCACCCAGCCAGCAACATACATGTAGCAACTAACAAGGCACATCCCCACGCAACGAGCACGCTCGCATAATACATGCGTGCTAGGACGGAAATGCGAGCAAACACGCAAATGTGTGGACCAACACAGGTACACACACATATAGACAGGGGCCATGGATCTGAGCATGGGCACCCCGATGGGTAATTTTACCTCATCCAACCCGCTCCGCCTCCCACTTCTCCCGCATTGCTGCTGTTGCCGCAGCCAACGGAACAATGGTCTCCCGGCACTGCACGTATGAAAGTCACTACCACTGTTATTACGCACACCCACGCACCGCTACTGCAACTAATACTGCGAAACTGGCGCTACCAGTTTTGTCGACTGCCGCGCCAAATGCCACCTGCCGCGTCACTGCTTTGCTTACAGAAGAAACAAAAACAAGTGCAACTTTCCTGCCTGCCCACATAGATAAAGAGAAAGGGACAGAAAGAGAGAGAAGAACATAGGAGATAGCGAAAAGTACGCTTACTGCGCTTTACCGCGATTTTCACGCCTGGCATACCATCCTCTTCCAGCCCACAAAAATGCTCCACCATCCGAGGCAGCTAAGCTTCTTACTTCCCTTGCTTTTGCGCGTTCGGCCTTTGTCGCCATTTCGATCACAGAAAAAAAAGAAGCATACGGAGAGCAATGCACATACGCAGCTCACGCAAATGCCGGCACTGGCCAAATGCGAACACGCAAAAAAACAGGTATCAGAAGAAACTAATTCGGCATGCATTCCGGCGTAAGATTGATGTTTCCTACCACAACATGTGCAATACAAGGACAATGCAAGTGCGCGCGCAGGGACGCGCGCACGCAAGCACCACGACCACACCAAGCCATGCTATCCTTCCCAACCCCTTCGCCTTTGATCAGTTCGCCGCCAGCCATCGTCTTACAACTGCATAGCCCTGATACAAAACTGCCGCCTCCCGCTAGCTCTTCCCCATTCCCACCTCCCTAAATCTGTGGCGGTTAATCAGTCTTCCTCCTCTTCCGCATTCTTCTTGTTTCTCCATTCTTCTAACCTTTTGATAGAGATTCCTTGCCACCTGTGTTTTAAGCACCTACTACACAATTCTGTCGCCGCAGCTGTCGTCCTTATCACTATCGCAATCACCGCTGCGGCAGCCACAGCAGCTAGAATTATGATACCGTCGGCTTCACCATCTCCTGCCTTCCCAGCCTCAATGGAAGCTCCTCCTTCGCCGCCGACGACGCTGCGGCTGCAGCTGCTGCGGCGACGAAGTTGACGTGCAAAGCTGCTGGCACCGCTGTGGCAACCTCGCCGCAACAGCTGCTACTGCTGCTGCAGGGCCCACCGCCGTTAATCGCAGAGATGACGCTCTCGCTGTCGTGTACGTCAGGCACAACTATAGCGGTGTTGCCGGCACGGCCGTCCATGCCGCCGCCACCCACACTACTAGGGGTGGCGGCACTATAAATGCGTCGTGATTTGGTGCCGCTGTTGCTACTCCAGTCACCAACCACACAAGTACCACCACCGGCGGCAGATACGGTGGCCGCAGCACCGGCGGCCCAAGCAACACTTCGCTCTGGGACGGCTGCGGCGGCGGCGGCACCGCTGCTGTGAATGAACATGCCGCCACCAATGCTGCCATCGGCGGCCTTTCTAGGAGTTGCCGAGCTAGCAGAGGTTACCGTATCGTCCGGCAGTTGCAACGGCGGCGGCGGGAAGCCCTGCCGCGGCCGCTGCGTACCGGAGTTACCCGCGCAGTCGATGCTGCCGGCGGCTCGGCTCGTTGACGCCGTCGCCGACACCGTCGTCAACGGCGGCGTCAATGGCGGCAGCGTGACCGCCGACAGCATCATCGTCAGCCCCAGCGACGACGACATCGGGCGGCGGCCGCTGGGGGTGATCGGCAACGATGGTGCCGTCGGCGGCAAGCCACCGCCGACGCTACGGCTGGCGGCAGTGGCGGCGCCGCTGGCGGCAGCGGCTGCAACGCCGCTGGAGGCTCCCGCGGTGGATTGGGGCCGCCGCATGGACAACGGCAATGCCACCGTCGGCAGCTTGGCGAGGGTCGGGATGCCCAGCTTAGCCGTTGCACTGCTCGGGATGGGGTTCGCGAATGAACTTCCTCCCTGTGACATCATCCGTTCCAATCTGTCCTGCAGCGACCTCCGTGCATCCAACTGGTAACGACGGCCAACGAAGGCGGCCAAGATAGATCCCACAGCGTCCTGGATAATAAACATGCACAGGAAGGGGGAAAGACGAACCACAGGAAGGGGGAGAAGAAGGGCGGAGGAAAAAACGGGCGTCAAGGCTTTGAAATGTTTCACAATCACGAGACGCCTCAGCACTTTAGTAGCTTGAAATCAAAGGCAACTAGCCAACTATGTTTGCAATATGTGTGAGGAAGTCAAAACCCTGTTCTGAAGGTGCGTGGCACCCGGTGGATCACGGGGAGTGACGATGAAAGAGAGGCAGCAGCGGAAAGCCGGAAGCAAAGCGGGCAAGGAGACTGCAATGTCTTCCATGGGAAAAAGGGGGGAAGACGCAGGGGGTGTAAGGACGAAAGGTAGGAGCTGAGGGCACAAGGTATGGATCATTGCCTAGATGTCGAACAATAGGGCGAGAAAAGGAGACGAGCGAGAGATGGCGCGAGACATCGCCCGTGAGGGACGATGAGAGTCGCACAAACGAGGACAGGGGTTGCAGCAGCTCCCAGATGTTGCACCGGTTATTGGAAACCCCGCTAAAAAAACATCCCCCCACAGGGTCCACGCTGCACGACCCCCCGTTGCTTACTCCCCCCACACTCCATCCTCTACCCCCCCCCGCAAGTTGGTGTGTTTGGACGTCATCGTCCGCTTTAAAAACTTAAAACAAGGAGCTATTAGGGTACACGATTTCCTTTTTGTCCCTTTGCTTCTTGCATCACATAATTACCCCACAGCCCCTCCGCTCCACCCCCACCTGTATGGCCCCCACGGACTCCTGCACGAGCGCCTGGCCGGCCCGTGCCGCCTGGTGTGCCTCACGCTCCCGACGATACACCTCAGCGTCTCTGAGGGCCTGAGGAATGGCGAATGGGTTGCGGGAAGGGCGGCCGTGGATAGAAAGCGAGAGAGGTATAGGGCGCAAGGGAAAGTCAACCCACGGCAGGCAAGGACGACTAGAACATGACAAAGTCACCTCTTGGCGTTGGCGGCGTGAAAACTAAACTCATCCCAACCTGCGCGCTTGCTGAAGGACTCTTCGTCGAACATCCCCCTATTTCTCCCCCACCCCGAACCCCCATTTTCCCGCAGCCCACCTGGTGCTTCGCCGCCACCTGGCTTCTCAGTTGAGCAAGTTTGTAACGCTTAAAGCCCGCCTTGATGATGTTGGCGGCACGGACCTGTAGGGGGAGGCCGGGTAGGAGTGCTTTATAAGTGTGCGTGGGGGGGGGGCAAATGCATCCATGCAGGGGAATGCCAGGACATGGGCCTGTGAAGATGTGCATGTGGGTCACTGATACAGGGTGGATGGATGGATGAACGCATGGATAACGTTGCGAGGCTAGTAGTGGTGGGTAGGATTTTATATAAAATGCACAAATACTGCCCGACGTCCAAAGCCGAAAAACTGCTGATGTCCAAAACGGTGAGGTGACCGGCTGTTACAACCGGAAGCTCAGCTCAGCGGGGACGAGGACAGGGTGTTGGATGGGTGGTGGCGGTACAGCGCTGCGCAGTCCGGGTGCTAACGCCGTTGGTAGCAGCGCCGGCAGGCCACGCACCCTGAGCCGCATATCTCCTCTAGTCAACCCATGCATATATCGGAACATGAGGATCCAGAATTATTATACTCCGAAGCGGCCGTATGAACCAGCCTGCGCTAAAACCCGCCCTCTCCACGCCCTCGCCGTGCTCTTCCCACACACGGAGCCCGCCTCCCACCTGCCGCTGTAGCTCGTGTCGTTCCGCAAGCGCCTGGGTGGTCACAGCTACGCTGCGGGCAGCGGCGGCCCGAACGCGATCTAGCGTGGCCCGCTCTGAAACCAGCTCAGCCTGTGTGCCGGATCGGTGGGTCAGCGGTGATTAGTAAAATGGTCGGGCAGGAGACAAGAGCAGGAGACGCCGAAGGTGAACGCCTTACGCCCAGAGGGACAAAGCGGGTCAACGATGCTCGTTTACTGTATGGAACAAGGAAAATGGGTGCAATGTCCCCTTCCGTGGTCGACATAGGCGTGTTTCGTCCATGCATATGGCCGATAGGTGCACTGTAGTAGATAACAAAGCGTCGCGTGCATTCACACGGCCCAATAACGAATAAACGATGGAAGTGGGTTCCCTCACCACCGCGTCGGTGCATGCCTGAACATCCAGGCAGGCAAGGCAATAATGCATGCAAGCAGGCAAGCAACACGCAATTGTGTCGTTGTGCATTCAACCAAAAACGTCAGGTCAGGTCATGTGGCGTTCCCACGCAGAACGCCGCCCCAAAACTCGGCAAGGCACACACCTTGGCGTGTTCCAGCTCCGATTCCAGCCTCTGAACCACCCCACGCTGCTCGTCCAAGTCCCCAAGCGCCTCATCAAGGCGGCCGCGCGTCTCCCCAAGCCGCATCAGGGCACTATCGTACAGACCCGCCATGTCGTCCAGCTTGCGGCACATCTCCTCAAGGCCGGAGCCGCGCTCGGCCAACTCGTCCCGCGTACGGCCCAACTCATCCACCGTCTCCGCAAGCACCAGGCGTACAGCATCCAGCTCTTGTGTCGTGCTCGCAAGCTGCGCCTCGGCGGTCGCGAGTGCGGCACGAGCGGCCTGCGAGTTATTAACCGAACAAAGGATCCATTACGCTCGATCCTCACGCGCATGCACGCATGTACGCACGTTATGTGATGCATGCATGCATACGCTACTACAGGGTTTGGCACTACTGGTAAGGCGCGACCATTGCCCCCGGGAGATCCCGGGATCGATACCCATTAGGGTCAAAAGTCCTTCCGATGGTGGAAGGCATTGCGCCCCTAGTTGATGGACGGTGGTGACCTGGGATAAAGTTAACCTGCGAGCCGACCAGGAATGGAGTTGGGCCGCTGTCGACCCGACAGATTCCGTTGGATGCTGGTGGTGGGTGCGGAACCTGAGCGATCCACTGAGAAGTTGGCTAGGGTGACTGTATGAGGGTGCCCCGAAATACCGGGGAAGGCAGGGTTTCGCAGGGTAGCTGCCACGGGCGAAGATACACCCCCCTGTTTCACACATCATACGCTATGGTTTCATGTGTGGAGCGATGCTCTGCACAGTTGCGTGCTTGGAACAATCATCACAAACCGTATAAACAAGCAGCACCGCTGCAATACACCCATCCCACCCTGGATATCCACGGATCCCCCCGGACGCGCCGGGCGTCGATCCGGTCCATTTTCAGTCCGCAATCGAGTCATGTCATGAGTCCCTGCGGTCCTGTACTCTCTTCGGTTCCCTCAGGACCTCCTGCCTCCCTCCCGGATGCCCAACGCTAAACTCCTGCAAGCTCTCAGGCTTGCGGAAAAGCTAGTAATCGCTAGCCTCGCTGCTTATCACACTCATGATCTGATCTGTTCTGACGGTACCTGCAAATCCCCACACGACTGGTGCTGCTCCTCCCTCCTCCGGGCGACCTCACAGGCCTGCAAGCCATCAAAAACATCATCAGCTAATGATAACAGCAGCAACAGCAGCTTGATATCACAACATTCGCAATAGCGGGAAAAGCATTAACAGCAGCAGTAAACAGAAACCGTAGAAGTGGCAGTAGCAGTAGGCTTAGCAGCCACGACAGGAACCCTGGGACAACGCTTGGGAAGAAGGCCGGTCCACCGCCGAGCAACAACGTGCCAAAACGATTCACCGCATCAACGCCAAAAATGGGTATAGAGTACAAGCTTGCAAGGATAACAGAGTGGATACCAGCTGTACCCTTTCGCACTCCCAGCGTTTCAGCTGGTCCTTCTTTCTGATCCTGAATGTCGACGAACCCCAGACACATCAGCTACAGCTATATAACGAGGAAAATAGACAGACGCACCTGCGCCACGATGCGAGCCTCCAGCCCGGCCTTGACCCGCTTCAGTGCTGCCGCCATGTCCATGAGCGCATCCAGCTGCACCTGAATGCCTGTGAATAGCGGCTGTGAGGGCGGCGACTGTGGCTGTGCAAGGGTCGTCGACTGCGCCAACAGGCCGATGCTTGACGCCGCCTCTGCTGACATCAGACGCTCACGTAACAGCGCCGTTGAGGCCGAAGACGACGCTGGCTCTGCGGTAATCGCCGACGCCAAACCCGCGCCACTGGCGGCACCGCCACCGCTGGATCTCGTGCCCGACGCCGTTCCCCCAGCAGCCGATGCAAGGGCCGTGAAGGACAGCCCTGCAACGCTCATTGCGGCCAACATATCGTCAGATTTGAGGCTCTCCGAGTCGCCGGCGTCAAAGGCGGGGTTGAGGTTTAGGATGCCAGAGCAGCGCCGAACGGCAGTCATTTCCCCATCATGGCCGACAGAAGCCCCGCCAGCTGAGGTGTTGCGACTGGGAGGGCCTGGGCTCGCGACGGAGGCGGCATGACGGCCGCCCTCGGCCATGAAGGGCGTTGACAACGGATAATCACTACCGGTAGCAGCGAGGTGGCCACTGCCGCGAGTACTGCCACCGCTTGCCCCTGACGCCTCGTGTCTCAGGCCGCTTCCACAGCCTTGACCGCCGTCAGAGGCACTGGCCCCGTGGCCGTGCCGTCGAGGCGGCTTTGCTGCGCTGCAAATGGCCGCGGTGCCGCCTGCATGAAGCTGGCTGTAGCTCCGTTGCTGGTGCCCTGGTGACAACATACCGTTCGCTACTGCCGTTGCGTAATCGGCAGCATAGCTGCCCATTACTCCACTACCAGAGCTCCGGTTGCCTTGGGGTGAGGGCTGCCGCGCCGCCGCCACTGCCACAGCGGCCGCGTCATGACCCGCCGCCGCGGCCCCCGAGCGCGCACCAGCACCGGTCGCCGCCGTGTGCGGCTGCTGCCGTGTTGGGCCGTAGGCGTGACCACTAGTTCCCAAACGGCCCGACGGTGCAGACACGCCCCCAGATCCGGATCCAGATCCGGAACGCGATCCAGATCCAGATCGCGATCCCGACGCCGCGGCAACGGCGCGGAGGTCTGCCATCAGATCCTGTTGCGCCGCCGCCAACGCCGCATCAAGGTCTGCAATATCGCTGGTATGTCGTCCAACGATGGGTGCGGAAAACCGTCCACCCGAGGATCGCTGCTGCTCCTGCTGCTGTTGAAGCAGGAACTGCTGCAGCTGCTGCTTCAGGTTATTGGGTTGGGTGTTCGGCACCGGCCCGGGAAGGGAAAGAGCAGAGGAGCCCAGGTTGGTGCGCCGGTTGTTGGAAGCTGAGTGGTGAGTACTGCTTAATGTTGTTGAACCGCCAGGTCCTTGTGCCAGCGGTCCTGCGCGCTGCTCTCGGGGCGAGCTGGGCGCTGCAGCAGCGGCCCCGTTAGACGACGAGTGAGGACGGCGACTGGGTTCCTTCATTGCGCCAGCGCAGGCGCCGTGGCCAACAAGCGCAGCGATAGCGGCGGTCGTGGGCCCGGCACTGCCAACGTCTACTACGACCTCCTCACCGTGCAATCCTCCGATGCGGCCCCCGTCGTCGTCAACCTCGACCTCTGACGGTGATCCAGTCAGGCCAAGCGCAGCCTGTATCATCTGTACAGCACTGCTGCCGCCGCTACTGAGGCTGCCGTCGCCGTTGCCACTCCCGGATGACATGCCGCGGCGGCTTGCGACGGCGGCAGCCGCCGCAGCAGCCAAGCCCTCCCTCGTCCACGTGGACTTCTGCACCAACCCGCCAGTGGCCCCCCCGCTGCTATCGGCAACCTCCGTCGCACCCTCCCCACCATGGTGGCTACCGCCGCCAGCGCTGCCGCTGCCACCGCCGCTGCCACCTCCGTCTTCGGCAGGTGCGGAACCCGATACGAGCTCACCTAGCGCTCGTTGTAGACGGGTGAGCGCCAGGTGTATGGATACGGCCTGCTCCCGTGCCGCAGCACGTTCCTGCGCCAGCTGCGACGACAGCACCGCTGCCTGCTGCTGCGCTGCCGCCACCAGCCGCACCTGCTGACTGCGGAAGAGGACAAGTCACAAGGGAACGGGTATCAATATTTCACTTTTGCCTGACGACTGACTGAGATTCGACGCAATGGCAACGCACGCATGGGCCTGACCATGATGGATTCGAAGGCACAGCACTTCACCACACACACCTGCGCGCCTCTGCTTCCATAGCTTGGCGCTGCGCAGCCGCCGCCTGTGCCTCAGCAAGCCGCTGCTGCAGCTCCGTCACCTCCGCCCTGTGCGCCTCCTCACGAATGACCTTCTCCGCCTGGGTGCGTGGACGGACCGAGAGCGACCGGCAGTGGAAGAGAGTGTTCAGCAAAGCAATGAAAGAACAGCGACGGGGAAAAGTTGTGGTTTAGCACAAGCATGACCGAAAGGCCAAGTGGTACGGTACATACCGATGGTGAGCAGCCCGGCGATCTGAAGAACCGCATGGGGAAAGGGATGAATGGGAAATCAGATGCATGGAGCAACTATAAAAGGGGTTAAGCGTTTAAGCAAACCGTAGGTTGGGGGCGGATGGTAGGGAGCGTGCGGATGCACCTGGCTGGAGCATCGTTCACGAAGACCCTAGGAATTTATGCCGACCCTAAGTCCACCTACCTTGAGCTTGGCCACTTCCATCTCCAGCTGGCCGTGCTGATGCTGCACCTGACCCAACTGCTGAACGTGCTCTGAAAGCAACTCGGCCTGTTGACAACAGTAACAGCAATAGCAGTAGCCATGGGTTGATTTTAACAGCGCACCGGTGCAAAACGAGGGAACGGAAACTGGGACCAGAAGCGTTAACGGTAAGAAATTTCATGCATACGCACGTTGTTGCTTCTGGCATACAAACAAGGTGGAAACAAGAAAAGCAGCGCAGGGTGCAAAAAAAGCGCCGGAAATGCTGCGATCAATCGAAATGAATATTTACCTGCGTATGGCCTGCTGACGTAAAGATGGACGCGGTGTACTCCAGCAACCGGTAACAAATCAATGCGCCCTACAAAGCGGCGGTAATGCCCCTACGCCCTTGTCCCCTAAGCCCCCACCTTCCCACAATTCCCTTCCGTCCGCTGGCTGCTCTCTTCAACCGTCCCCGAGGCTTTCTTCTGGAGGAAATACCTGCTACCAGCTTGTGGCTGCCTGTCCCCGCCCTATCCCCACCTGTTCCGCCAACTTGGCAGCCGCCTGCTCGTCCTTGGTCCGAGCCTCCACCTGGAGAGCTTCCACAATGGCAGCGGTGCGAGCGCGCTCGCGAGCCAAGGCAGCCTTGGGGCGGGGAGGGAAGATGAACAACGGGGCAGGGAGGGCAGGCAAATCATGCACAGAAATCATCCGTAGACAGCAAAGAAAAGCAACTCCTAATGTCCAAACCAAGCGTGAACGATAAAATGCGAATGTCAGCAACAACAAATGCCCGACTCACGTATGTGCGTCCGTAAGTACAGCTCGGGGGCCAGCTAGTCATTGCACTCAGGGACCCACTCGCCCACGGCTGCTGGGTTCAGGTCACAATCACCAACACCCATCCAGCCCAGCGACACTGCAGATTACGGTGTCATAAAGTTTTGTCGCGCCAGAATATGCTGCGACGCAACAGTAGGTACGTACCAGTAGGTCCACTAAGAAAAGAAACCGTCGCATCACCCACCTGCAGTGCATCGCGCTCCTCCTTGGTCTGTGAGAGCGCCTGTTCCAGGCCGTTGGTCCGTTCGTTACCCTCCTGGTGATTCGGGGGCATAGGAGACATAAGGGGTAGAAGGAAAAATCGCATGGTTGAGGACTTTTGGGAGAGGACACATGATTAATGTCAATGACCAAGCCGATGTCCAAGGAATGAAAAAAGCCAGCTGCCTGTAACATTTTGGCCCTGATGGTATTCTGTTATGTGGGAGGCCTTATGCAAGATATATATACAAAGAACCAACCGTCTACATCCAAATACATACTGCAGAAGTCAGGGAGAGGAGCCCGGAGGCGGGAAAGGCAGGACGGGAAGGCTAGCGTAGGTCTATACCGCTCGCCGCGCGGCAGCGCCGCCGTCCCCAATCTTGTGTCCGCGCGGCAGCGCCGCCGTCCCCAATCTTGTGTAAGTATTCGCTTCCGACGTAATCGTTCGGGCAAAGCCGTTCGTTCTTCGAGTCGCGGGCGGGCCGTTGGCTGTTTTTACTAGGTCTTTGAGTGTTTATGACTATCCTAACCCCGGCACCTCCTCTTCCTGGTCATAACATTCTTAAATCCCCGGGGTCTGAGCGCGCGCCTTCCCTTCTAAACCCTTTCCTCCCATGTGAACCTTCTGATTGTTTCTTTTCCTAACCCTCCTGCAGTTTCCTGTCGCAATATTATTTCCCTCGCTCTCACCCATGCCCTACCTCCAGCGCCGCCAGCAGCTCCGCCGTGAGCTGCCGCATCTGCAACCGCTCATTTACGACGGGCTTGTTGCACACCCGCGCGGCCCGCGAGCCGAACTGCAGCGACTGCAGCGATTCGTCCACATGCTGCCGCACGTCGGACAGACACAGAATGAGGGACGTCTTGGCGTTGCCGCCCAACGACTCCTGCGGTACGGCATGTAGTGTATACACATGAGTATAGTGTAGTGTAACGAAAATGATAAGCTTAACCCACAGGGGTCTTGACGCATGGTGGTCCCGTGGAGGCCCCCGGGAAGGGGCGCTAAGCCGCACTGGACGAATGTTTTCCTTACAGGAAGACCCAGATATGATATCCGGCGACGGCGTGGGGGAGCTACCCACCTGCAGCAGCCTCGTGAGCTTCGAGTCTCGAAACGGAACATGCTGCGAGCCCTGCAGGACAGGGGGCACGTGCATTAGGAAGCAGGACACAGGGGGTTTCAGGCACCTCCCGGAGGCCAATTAGCTGGCTCCATCCATTGGTAGGTAATGGCTCCAAAAGCCAGTGCTCGGAAAATGGGGCACAGCCCGATCCTTGGGTATCACTGCCCTTGGGTTTTGACGCCTCTCCCGTCTCACTTCACCGGCTCCTCATTCCGACCCTCCACAGCCAACACAACCCCGGCCCGATAGCCGCCTACCATAGCAAAACGCTTACTGATCTCGCCAATGTCTACGGCTTTTCCCCTTTACCCCCTCAAAGAAATACCACTCCCCCGTTCTCGCACTGCAACTCCTACGGTAAAGATTAAAGTGCAACATTAATGCACGGCATTTGCGAATTCAGCAACTCGACATGACAGAAGCATAACATGTTTGTACCCATCCAACACCCTGAAAGAAGTGTTTCCATCTATCCAAGATCCTGGGAGCCTATCACACTCCCAAACCCCTCCACCCAACCCCACCTGCGCCCTTGCCGAGATGCACATGCCCAGCATGGTAAGTGACAGGTTGATGGACCGCGCCTCCGTGGCCCGCAGTCCCACACTCTTGGACTTCTTCAGCCGCTCACTGCCGGCAAGGTCAACCATGTACAGCTTGCCCACAGTCACCTAGAGTGACAGGTAACACGACATATCACAAGTGAAGGATGGGGGGACGGGACTGGCGATGGGAGAAGGTGTAGAGGGAGGGATAATCGCATGATGGTGATGATGCAAAGCGCAAAGGATTAAGTGCCTGTGTCCAAAGCTCCAACTGCCGGTGGGGAAGGGTGCTTGGGGCTTGGAAGTGGAAGGATGAGGTATAATGAAAGTGGATAGAAAAGGGTATTGCGCTTGGTCATGCCAAGCCAACGCAACGAGGTCCACAAAGAGATTAGGCGAGGCGGCTTGCCATCCACTTGCCCTTGCATCCCCAGCCGTCCACTCCTCCTCTGTCAAACTCACCGCAATCCGTGCGATTAAAAAATCGCACGGATCGCGTCCAAGCCCCTGCCAAGTATCGCCTACTTCCTAACTCCTCCATCAACCCCATGTGACCACCTCCACCACACCTTTTGTGTCACGACCCCGTCCTGGTCGGGTGCCTCCGCCTGCACCCGCTCTTCGGTGGTCAGGTACTTGCGGCTCTGTGGATCAGCGAGTCGGCAGATGATGGGAAAGTGATGAAAAGGCAAACATTGATTCCATGGAGACGAGCTGCGTCGTTAACATTTCGTGGAGCCTGTCGACATTGGGGCATGTTGCCCTACACACGACTTGAACGTTCACAACCCTGAATCTCAGTGTACTAAAGTCCGGGGCGAGCTAGTAACTGACGCGCGAGAAAATAGGCGAACTGAAGGCGGAGGAGGAGAACGCAGGCCAAGAAGAATCCTAAACTTTGGTGTCCAGCGATCCTCAATTTGTGTTTTTTCAGCCCAATACCTCCTGGGCCCCTCCTCTGCGTGTGCGCGTGCTATGTGTACATGATCTGATACTCCAGGTTTGGAAAGGCTCCTCGTTCACAGTGGGGTCAACCCCATTCGAGGCAGCACGTCCGCGCTAAGATGGTGCCCTAGTGCCCCCACAAAGGAATCCGAGGATCTTTATTTTAGTCTTTAATGTAAGCCCTAAAAAAGTCCCACCAACCCTGGACCCACCTTGACCACCGTCAGCATCACCACGGCATGGCTGCGGCTGCTGTGCGCGTTCAGGTGCGTGAAGGCAAACACCCTATGGAAGACAGGCGCGGAAGAGGGCCGACAGAGGACAAAACCACAAAACGCTCACATTACAAAGCTGGGCGAGGGGGATGGGCATTGATAGCCGCCATCCATGAACGACCCTTTCCGTAGCGTAGCTGAAACCAGTCCCCTCTTCCTCCCCTCCCCACTGCTTGTCCATCAATTTTAAAGTGGAGAGAAGACCTTAACATGTTTAGGTGCCGAGAGCCCTTAACATCCCTCCTGCCTGGAACACATCCTGTCATTACAGTCCCGAATCCTACGTGCCGCCTTCTCAGGTGTTATACACACACCGGGCCTCTCGGGGCTCCCGCGGCTGCTCGTCAGTCGGCAACGGCTTCCCTGCTCAGCAACCGAACATATCCCTTAGCTTGTTGAAGCGCACGGCTTCCATGTGCCATCCATTCCGGGCGGCCTGGCCTGGCCTGGTCTGAGCTGCGTGCTATCGTCCTTCCCCAACGGCTCACCCCCTCTCCAACACCCCATTCCTATAGCCACACACCCACCAGCCACCTCCCCATTCGGGCTGCTCGTTAGCGACTGGGTCCCTTCCTGTGTCGGCGACTTTCGTTTCGCACAAGCAACAAGCTGCAGAATCTCTGTTCTCAATCTCCGTCACCCGCCCGCTGTTGGACATAAAAAATCCCACGACATATGTTCCCGTTCCATGGTGGCTCCCCCTACCTGTTTTGCTCCCCTAGCTCCAGGTAGTGTAGACACTCCTCCAGGGAAGTCACCAGCACCTCACACGCACCCGCCACAAACACACCACCGGCATCCTCGCGAATGGGCTGAGGATAAAGGGGGAGCATTAAACAGACAGAGATAGTAAACATATGCTATCATGTGCCACCGCACAGCTAAGACGGTGTAAGAAGAAAGACACAGCCGGGCGTGAAGGGAAGGGGAAAAGGTTGCACTGATCTGGGGGACATGACTACAGATGTATTACGATGGAGGCAGGGACGTGTGTTTGGGTCAGGAATATCTCGGGGGTTATTGTGTGGAGTGAGTGTGGAGTGAGACGAAGGGCTGAGTGAGGAGTTTCGCGGCGACGCGAAACGCAATCAGGAGAAGTGGATGCGCACGCGAAAACCCTATAATAAACCCACACACCATTACGCCTACACTCACCAGGTTGTCGGCTGTGGGATTCAGCAGGTCCTGGATCATCTCCATGTAAATCTGCAAGCCCCAGGACGGAGTGGCGTGGAAGTGACGGGCAAAAATTACACGTGCATGACTGCGTGCGAGGGGGGAAACAGGGGGAAGCGTGGGCAGTCCAACAGTCCAGACCCGGACACGGCCACAAGACCCACACCGCGGTCGGAGCGGCAGCCAGCCCTCACAGACGTAACGAAAGGTCTCAGTATATGTGCTTCGCAACCGACCGACACGGCCACCAGGCCCCCCGCTCTCCTCGTCACCTGGATATCTTCACCCCAGTCCACATCGCCTCCTTCCCCTAGGTCCCCAACCAAGGATCGCAATCCTCCCTCGGACAACTTGCAAACCCATGTGCATAGAGCTCCGTGCCATCAACGGTACAATGGCCACAAGGCGACACCGACCCACCTGAATGTACGACATGGTAATACGGTACGTGTGTGCATTATCGCGCGTTCCCGCGCTAAAGAGCTCCGCAGCCGCTCTAGGTATCATTCCAATCGCGTCGGGGGCCGTGTTTCCCAGCGTGTACGTCTTACCAGCACCTGGACGGTTGCGGAGCGGATATGGGCGGGAGATCAACGGAATGAGAAAAAAAGGAAGGCGTGTTTATGGTAGGCCAAGAAATCCCTCCAGGATAAAGAAGACCCCGGCAAGGCAAAGCAAAATGGCGTCCCACCTCCTCAAACGCACACACAAACACACACGGCACTCTTTTTCGAGGGAAGGAAATCGTGTGTGTGTGTGTTTGTGTGTGCGTGTATGAGATGCCTGTGTGTACTATTCGCGTAGCATCTCACAACAATATCGAAACAGTCCCCAAATGGCACCGATTTAAGTTTGAGAAACATGACTGCAGCAGCTGCCGAGGGTCGAACCATACAATTACATGCCAGATGCCAGAGCTGCAGCAAGGTCGGCGGCGTTACCGACCGTGGGATGGGCCCCCGTAAGATACATAATACACGAGGGCCACGGACACCAACCATGACTACGTAGGCTGCAGGCATCGTGGAAACCCATTTCTACAGAGTTTCATACGCGTCGGTGGGAGAGTATACTCCCAGGGTAACTTCAGGACACGTCCCTGGGAGTGCAAATCACCGTGCTAACTAAGACTGCCTTCTTCTTATCCATAGCCCACTCATTTGCCCTATCAGCAGCGCGAGCTGTGCTAGGTACCTCACCCACCTGTCTGTCCGTACGCAAGAATGGTGCCGTTGTAGCCGCGCAGTACATCCGCCACTACGTCCGAGACAGCGGAAACGTACACGTCAGCCTGGCTGGCATTGGGTCCCAGAACCTGCGCAACGCGCGTCCCCAGCCAAGCCACAATGAGTTTTGACGGGGGACCCGATGCAGGGCGCCGACTTGGGGTTTCAGCAAGCCATGCGCCGCAATTCATGATGCATGATGCTGGGGCTGATTCTAAAAACCACGTAATTGGAGTCCTTCTCCTAAAAGGTGCGCAGCTTCGCACGACACGTCATGAACAAGCGGCCTTTCGTAGTTTTCAATTCCCAGCTTTGGATCCAGCGGAAACCCCTGGTACGCGAGGCGAGACGTCATATTTTGGCGTATCTGCGGCTGGAGTTTAATAGCGGGCCCGGCGACCCGCAGCAGGCCTCAGTCGTACCGACACAGTTGCACGACCCACCCTGTCAAACATGAAGTCCGACTGCGGAACCGGCGCCTCCCTGCGACAGCACCAGTGCCGGGCATAAAGCAAGGTAGGAACATTACAATGTAGCTTCCAAAGGCAACGCTAATAGGGGCCAAGCACAGCAATTCACGGCCGGGAAACGGCACTAGGAAGGGGTTATTTCGTCAGCCCGTTCCTGCCGGGAGATGCTTCAAAGCTAGAGAATGTTTCCACCTATGCACTGATAATTGTTCGCTAACCTTGATATGACAGCACACGGACATCTGATTGCCAAGTCCTAGCAAGAGGTGGGCCTGGCTGGGCTGGAACGTCTGCAGCCCCACCCGGAACCTTGCATCCAGCAAGAACCCCGTTAACCCCGCGAGTGCAAGGGGGCCAAAGAGGGAGTTAGAATGACTTGCGAAGACTCACGGCCTGAAGATGGTGAGCTGGCCATCGTCTTCCGACCATAGCAACGCTCCCGGAGTCTCGTCATCCCGCAGTGCTGGCCGTATACGTGCAAAGACCTTCACTTTTTCTGCAAGTATTAGGCATGTGCGGACAAGGCGCCGGCACCTTCGGACGAACGCAGATAGGTCTGCCGCCATACACGCTAAAGCCGGGGTACATTTCCGAAAACAAATAATGCCACAAACATGGCATTATGGACACAGGCTGCGATGCCCCAGGTTATGCCACGAACCTCAACGATTCAAACTCGATATACCTGTTCAAGGCCGCTCTACCCCAGCTTGTCGCTCACCAAGCGCACCTAATTCGCCTTCTATTCTGGACTTCTGTGGCGTTGGCAGAGAGCTCCGTAGCGCACCAGAGCCGGAGTTCCGTTCAAGTAGCCCGCGTCCGCTGAAGGAAGATTCATCCAGCGACGACCCCACGAGTGGACTTGGGGTGTTGAGTTCACGCGCAGGAATACGTGAGTTCATCTTTGAATTGAGACGAGACTAGAATTATTTCTCCCAAACAACTTTCACAGTCCGCTGCCGCTGAATATGCCCCCGGATGGTGGCATTTTGCTTTTGCCTACATAAGCAAAATTGGCATAGGCTTCAGTCTTTCAGCTGTAAGACGGGTCGAGTTACAGCCTCAAGTAAGATGAACTAGCCGACCCGACAGCATCAGCCGCAAAGCGAAAGCAGAAAAGTGCCTTACGATATCTCATCCTGCAAAGCCTGTTTCGTAAGGTTCGCATGTTGATGTTGCCGAGCACCTCCGATTCTGCCGTACAAAAACACTCTCTGAATCCTAACAGCACCCAAAGCCTTCGATTCCCGCAGCTAAACGGTGCATCTATACGCAAGTCTAACGCAACTTAAAAGAAGTGGTTCTTTGGGTGGACTTAACCAAATGCCTGCCGTCTAACTCTAGCCATCCGCCGACATGGTCATGCCAAAGTGTGTTTCACCCTTGCCTTATTGCTATTTCACTCATCCATCTTCCGTATATATTAGATCACGACCACTCCGGACCCCGCGTCAAATGACCCCTGCTGTCCGCCTCCATTCTCTTGACCCGTGGGCCTTGCCCGACGGAGAATTAAAGCGCACGCAAAGGGCCCCAAGCCGCTAACAATGACCCGCAAACCGCCATCTACAGGAAACCCCCTCATCGCCACAACCAGCGAACCCAACCCCGACGTCGTTACAATAAAATCCTCCGCTCGGCCTTCTATTCACGAACATCCCAGCTAAAGCCCCCCGGTATCAATCGCACATCCCAAAACCATCGCCCTTTTCCAGGGCGCCCTCTTTCCTCATCTCCTTCCGATCCTTTGCGCGCCAGAAACGGCGGCGACTCCAATCCTATGGGTTTTCAACTCTAACAATCCCTCCCGAAAAATCATAAACTAAACTCAGGCCCAAGTCGCTCAGAAGCTGTGGCCCAACTCGTTGGCTACAGTACCTATCACAGCTGCCCGCTGGTGGCGTACATTTGTTGTTACAACGAATGGACCTTGCTTGACAGAGGCCTGCATGGGGAGCAGAGCAGAGCAGAGCAGAGCGCCCCCCAGTGGGAGACCCTCCTCTCCAGGAAGGGAATAGGAGGACCCCCTTGCGCAGTAAACCGGGACAGTTATTGGCCCCAATCAGATCCTCCTCTCGCCGCCACCGTACCAGTAGTGCGCTACATGGGGCCCCCCTTGGCGATACCAAGTCCTCGGCGCACCAGAGGGGCATGGCATGATGGACGTTGCCCCACTGCAGGACAATTTGCCAGCTGGCCCCCAATAAACGACCGCCTCTACTGCCAACACCATTACCATCAACCCCAATCCCCAGAATCGTCTTCTGTGGGATCCCATATGCTGCAGGCGCCATCAACGCTCCCAACACCGACCGCCGCAGCAACTGCAACCGCCACTGGCGCAAGCTCAGCCGTTTCGTACGGTGGCGATCCACGGTCAGCCGGGTCGGGCTGCCAGTCAGTTAAAAGATGGACCGCAGGAGGCTCCATGACGAAGCTCCCCATGACCAGGATAGCTAGCCACGAGGAAAGCGGCACGGAAGACGCGAGGATGGAGTGCAGGATGGAGCGCACGGATGGACGTGTACACCTCTGGCCCAGGCAGCAGCCAGCCTGATGATTCGCTCGCGCATCACCGCCGCTGTTTCACGCTGTTCCTCCCCCTCCCACAGCGTCCCCTCTCCCCTCGGCTACAACTATACATCAAAGGAATATCAAAGGAAACCATTCATGGAACGAGGCGGGGCGCGGATCTGCGGGCGGCAGCGGCTTTTTATAGCTTGCCCGGCATCCATCCGCACAGGCGCTATCCTGTGCGCTATCCTGGTACATGCAGACGCGTCGGGGATGTACTCACACAATCCATAACTGCTCGCTATTCGCACTGTCGCTCTTTGCACAAAAACGGCCATGGCCTGCTCCACGGCAGGTGTAAGGGTGGGAGGAGGGTGGGAGATGCGGGCCTGGACGAGCCTGACTGCCTGACTGGCGCGGGCTGAATCATGAGCCGCCGGTTGTCGGTAAGGTCCTTTCTCTACCATTTGTGAGCGGCACACACCCGCGGGGGGCCATTTCACTGCTACCGCCACGCCTGTTGTTTTCGCTGTTGCTGCTGTTGCTGCTGTTGTTACTGTTGTTGCGGCGGTTGTTGTTGTTGTTGCTCCAGAGCGAGGGCCTCCTTAATAGCTGACTCCAGGTCCGCGAACACCTGCAGGTGTGGTGGTGGTGGTGGGTGGTGGTGGTGGTGGTGGGTGGTGGTGGTGGTGGTGGGTGGTGGTGGTGGTGGT